TGCCATTTTTGTATATGTACTTGAAATAATAAAAAAATTCTAATAAAACAAAACAGAACACTTTCACGTCTGGTTGGTTGGATTGGAGGCGGAGTCAACTGGATAGACTCTCCCTGCCCAGTTTTCGGTCCACCTCGGCTCGATTCGTGAAGCCTGGGTAATGGAGGCGGGGTTTGTACGAAAACAGTCAAAGGTGAGCGCACCGCCCGCCCATGTTACCGTGGTCCACAGATGTAACGCACTCTGTGGAATAAGGTGAGGGAGTGAAGGTGAGACCGGACGTGACGTAACCGAGTAGAAGTTGCTCTGTCAGGAGGGTACGAGGCGAGTTGAAGCTGTGAAAACGTCACATTTTGTTTGTAACGTTTTATTTTCTTCATGTTTCTGATTGGCCGAACCCGACAGCGCGTGCCCGCGGGCTGAGAGGTGAGTGCGCCGCTGTGGCTGTGAATGCTGCCCCGCTCAGAGACCAAAACGGACATAAAGTTAAAAAAGTCTTATCGCGTTTGGCTGTCAGTGCCAGCTAGCTCATGCTAAGCTAACGGGGTGTGTAACATCTGTACGGTTCGTGTTGAAGCGGCTTCCCGCTCCGCTCGGAGTTCCGCTTGTTTGGTTTCTCTGCGTTTCTTTCCGGGCCCTCACGAGCTGCTGCGCGTGAACATTAATGACAATTTTACGACAGAAAAAGTTCACAGCTAGCCAGTTGGCTAACAGGCAGGGTAGGCTGGTGAAGCGGATGTGGACGGACGGTGGGCGGGACTTATGAACCTGGCGGAGAGGAATGTAAACAGGTAGCACGCGCGTTCACCTGTCAGCGTTCTCCGCGGATCCGCGCCGGACCCGGTAAGCTGACCGTTTTTCGGGAGGGGGAAGAGGGCACGGGCCCGGATGTCGGGGTTAACCGGAAGAGCGGGGTTAACCGGCCGCTCCGCAGGACCGGGGTCAGCTGAGGCTGCCACCCGTGTGTGTGCGAGCGTAGGTCACCGCCGGTCACATGGGAAACAACTTTCCTTCACGTCGGTCTTGGGAGTGAAGCAGTCGCCCCCCGAGTACAGGTCACCTGTAAGGCTCGGAGGTGTACAGCAGCGGTCCAGGTGTCGGTCTGCGTTCTCAGCCACACCCCTGCTTCTCTCACGGTCACAGCTGTACCCCACAGCTCGGGTGGAGCTGCTTCCGTTCAAACAGCTGAGGGTGGATGTGCAGGTGTTTATCCGAGTTTACACCTGTGAGGCGCACACAATGTTTCTGTGATGTCACAGATCTGAGAAAAGGAGAAATTAGTGGATGGAGGTGACGCTGCACCATCACTCGGAATCCATCTTTAAATCAGCGTCATGGCTGCACACAGCTGTGAGCTAACTCCACCACACACACACACGCACACGCACGTGTGTTTGCTGACTTCTTCTTCTGTGGTTCCTCCTCAGGTGTGACTGATGTCAGAGGGCCGTGCTGCGTCTCTTCTCTGCTCACATTTTCTGCAGCCATGGTTGCTCTCAGGTAGACCGGTGTGTCTGTTTTCCAACACCCTTGGCAGGCAGCGGACAGGTGATCGTTCTCTCGTGACGGTCTCCTGGCGGCCATGTTGGAGCGCCTCCTGCTGTCTTAAAGCCACCCGATGCTGAGGTCGAGTTTCTCTCGTGACCACGTCCGTCTAAGTCATCTCTCTCCACGTGTTGTCATACGGAGTCGTGCCTGTGAAGCCGTCAGCTGATCATGGAGGAGTCCAGGGAGCAGCCTGCCGCCATCGCTGACCTGGAGATGAAATGCGGATCAGAGGAGCCCACTGTCAGCTCACAGACTTTCTCCAAAGAATGCACCTTAAGCGTGACACCAGCACACCTCAGAGCTGACATCCCCAACACAAGTGGCGGCGCCGCTGACAGCCCTGCGCTCGCCAAGGTCCCGATGGAGGAGGAGGAAGAGGCGACCCCCACGCCGCCAGAATCATCGCCAAGTCCATCATCTGAAAACATGACTCTAACAATCGCCACCACCACAGAGGAACCCACGGAGGCTGGGGCAGGACCAGGTAGAGGAGGAGACATGGGTGAAGGGCGGGGCCTAAGATGCCCAGAGGATCCCTCATGGTGCTTCTATTGTCCGCAGGTCTGGACGTGGAGGAAAGCTCCTCGGTGGCGACAGCGGGTGGCTCAGACGACCAGCTGGAGTCCACGGACTCGGCGTCATTCTCCATCCCCAGCTTGGAGCTGTCGGATGGGGTCGTGACAACAGGAAACTCCCTGGACGTGGAGGACGGCCTGTCGTCGTCGTACTCGGCGCTGGGTGCGGAGGGCTGCTCGCCATCCATCGAGGTCCCAAGTCTGCAGGACGAGGCGGCGCTGGAAGCTGCCGGTGAGGCGCCCATGTTACTGAAACGTCCTCAGCCTGGTGCCTGACTGCACTTCTTTTTCTTCTCTGGGTTTATTTTGGGATGACACCGTTAGTACTCCAGATAAATGTAACTTTGTTGTGTGACTGCAGTTCTCCCCCTCTCCACAGGGGGTGCTGCTGCTCCTCCTGCTGCGGCACCGGAGCCTGGGCCCTCCATGCCAGCGTATTACCTGGTGAAGTGGATCACCTGGAAGGAGAAGAAGACACCCATCATCACCCAGAGTGAGAACGGACCCTGCCCCCTGCTGGCCATCATGAACACGCTGTTCCTGCGCTGGAAGGTGAGAATCACCATCATTTAAAGGGCGGAGCGGCAGGTGGATGTTCATCTCCACCCAGCTGCAGCAGACAAATCTAAAGACAAGTTGCACTACGCAGGTACACAAACACCTGCCTCAGAACCTTCAGGAAGTCAGAGCAGGTACTTCCTGTTTGCGTCGTCATGGTAACATAAGAACCTGGAGGTGCACATTACGTGTTCCAGCTGTTTGGAAGGGCGGAGCTCAGAGCTCCCAGGTTCCAGTCGGTCTGAGCTCGTTGTTGTCATCGCGGTTTGTCCTCCATTTCTACGCAAACGCTCAGACTTGCGCCGAAGACCGGGAAAGGTTCAAGTCCGATTTCTAGCAGCTGAAAGGTGGCTTTGGTTCCCAGGGAAGCTGGCCTCGTTGGAAGGCATGGGAGAAGCATTTCCTAGTAGTTCAGGTCCTTGAAATTGTTTTTACTGCACAAAAGGACGTGAACGCGATGCTAAAGTTCAAGCACAAGTTCAGCTCTGTGCCCACATCTGCACAGAGAGCATGCTAACGCTAAGCTAGTCAGACCATATGCTAACGCTAAGCCAGCCAAGAACAAGAGTGATGCTAAAGCTCAGTGTATGCAGACCAGAGCCTAGCAGCTAGCGCCTGAACTTCAACAGGTAACTGTCACATCATCCTGGTGCAACATCTGCGAGGAGCTTGTCCTGGTACTGTGACAGCAGGACGTAATAAGAATTTAGCAATTCTGATTCCATTATCAATAGACTCTATACTTATTGATCAGATTCGTTATCGAGTCTCAACAAACAAACATGTGGCCCACAGCATGAAATGAATCTGCATGAAGGTCTTCGATGTGATGATGGTCACCCTCAAAGCGGAGAATCGATAACGAGTCTGATCAGTAAGTATAGATTCTACCGATAATGGATAGTTCCCATGCGCGCTGTCACAGTACCAGGATGAGCTCCTCGAAGATGTTGGGCCGGGCTGTTGTGACAGGTCGCCCCGAAGACGGCGGTGGCGGCATTAAATCACAAAGCCTTTGACTTTTCGTTGGAAGGGTGTGTCTGCGGCGCTGCAGTGCGTGAAGCTCTTGTAAGTGTTCTCCCGTGCTTGGTGGGGTCTACACCTGGACGCATCTAGAATAGTCAATAACACTCACAGCGCCCCCTAGTGGCAACAGGAAGTTAACTGTTAGAACCATGTGGTGCACGTGAATCCGGTGCTGTGGGTTCACCTGTGCTTCGCCCGTGGCGGCCGCTGGCCTCAGGTGGATGTGCAGCTAATGAGACACTTTGGATGAACCGTTATGTGACCGTGGTTTCAGATGTTCCTCTGAGAACCAATCAGAGCACTCTAAAATGATGTAACTGTGTCGTAAACAGCTTTGATCTTTTCTAGTGAGGGACAGAGGAGGAGACACCGGTGCTCACACTTGATAAAGTTTATAAACTGACCTGTAAGTGTGTGTGTGTGTGTGTGTGCGCCGCAGGCCAAGCTTCCGGCCCAGACGGAGGTGGTCACCACCGAGGACCTGATGGCTCACCTGGGTAAGAGCGACTGTGGGTAATGTATCAAACGTATGAAATGAAACGTGCCGGGTAGCATGAGCAGGAGGCGGGGCGCTCGCTCGTAAGCGTGGAGGGTCCACGTTAAGTAGACGATGAGTTCGCTCCTGGCACAGCTGTCGAGAATGAAACTGTCCGCGCAGGTCACATGGTACGCGGTCTGCAACACGCCAGGTTAAACCTGGATTCTCACCTGTGAGTGTTTGAGCTGGTCGGGTCGTGGCTGTCCTACTGACGATGTTCCTGTGTGTGCGTTGTTCAGGAGAGTGCGTGCTGTCCGTCACTCCCAGACAGAAGGCCGACGGCATGGAGCTCAACTTCCAGCAGGTACCAAGGAAGCACACGCACATGCTGGTTCTGGATCTCAGCGTCCCATACGCGCTTTCAATTAGCACGCCGTTTTGGGGAGGAGACCATAACATGGGCGTGTGTGTTTGCAGAACATGAGCGACGCCATGGCGGTCCTCCCGAAGCTGTCTACGGGGCTGGACGTCAACGTGCGTTTCACCGGCGTCACGGACTTTGAATACACGCCCGAGTGCATCGTGTTCGACCTGCTGGACATCCCGCTGTACCACGGCTGGCTGGTCGACCCTCAGGTGAGTGTGAGCGTAAACGCAGGACCGTCCAGGTCCTTAACGAGGTTTTAACAATGCAGCGGTTTGACCCCCAACTCCTCCAGTCTGCTTGTTGAAGTACTCTTGAGCTCAAACCCCGGAGCTTCTCCCGAACCTGTGAGCTCTGGATAAAATGCTCTGTATGATGAAGCATGTGATTGGCTCGTTCAGCCAATCCCCACGGGTACCGTCAGCTGATTGGCTGCAGATGAAGCAGGAACATTAATAAAATGTTCTGACATTAAATGATCAACACAATAGACAGAAAGATATTAGGATGTTTAGAAAACAGAATATTTATAGAAGGAAAGAAAATATGAACAAATGAAGGAAAGTATTAATAAACATGAATATTAATAAACTGTGTTACGGCCTCAGCTGGGCCTCCTCCTGGAGGTGCCTGTGTGGGCGTGTCCTCGCGTCTTCATGCCTTAGGTGACAGCTGCTTCTATTAGTAACTGAACTAAAAGAGACGGACAGGCCGCTGTCAACATTTAAAGATCAGAACAAAACTCAAGCGTGGGTCAGGAAACTGAAAAGTAAGTCAAAAAGGATTAGTGACCAAACACGGTCCTCTCCACCAAGCAGGAGCAAACAATCACAGAACACAGCTCTCTACCTGCAACCACTAACATGGCTCTCTGGCACCAGAGCTCACCTTCAATACTTTTAATTGCTGAAAGGAGTGAGCTGTTCAAAGGTGGCAGCTGAGGCAGGAGAGACGATAGGACACGCCCACACAGGCAACGCTTGGGCCCCAACAAAAGTGAAGTTATCCAGTAAGAATGAAGGATGTGCGTGACTAATAGTCAGTGTTGTCGGTGCCAGACTTACTAGTTGTTTAAATGTTAATTATTCCCTGATGCTGGTAAAATATCATCTTAAATGTTATGCAGCTACCTGCCACCAGACGGCGCATCGTTGATGACACACCTGTTAATCTCTTTGTTAGAATAAGATCATAGTTACAAACAGCGGTTCTCCGTCAGGTCTGCCGTAGGAGAGTTCAGTCGTTATGAGGGGTTCAGAGCAGAGCCACTAGTCCTCCACAAGGAGGCAGCTAAGGCTGTCGCCTCCTGGGCGTTCCTGCCAGGCATGTCGCACCAGGAAGAGGCCCGGGCTTGGACCAGGGACACGTTGGAGAGATCTCGGCTGGCCTGGGAACGTCTCACGTGTCCCCGGATAAGCTGGGGGTGGCGAGGAGAGTGGGGGCCCTGCTTCCCTGCTGCTGCCCCCACGACCCAACTTCAGATGAGCGGGAAAAAAATGGATGTGTAATTTATTGTTTTCTTATTTTTAGACTTGAACTAGGGCTGGGCGATGTGGCCTAAAATTCATATCGCGATATAATTTGAAGCACGTGCGGTAACGATATATATCACGATATATT